GGTACTGAGGCTGATGAGCTGAGGCTGAGGCAGGCCGAGGCGAGGCGAGGCTTGAGGCAGACTGAGGCTCGAGGCTTGAAAGCAGGTGAGGCTGAGGCGAGGCAGGCTGAGGCTGAGGCTGCGGCTGAGGCAGGCTGAGATGAGGCAGGCTGAGGTGAGGCTGATGCAGGCTGAGCAGAGGCAGGCTGAGATTGAGCGAGGCTGAAGGCAGATTTTGGCTGAGGATTGAGGCAGAGGCAGGCGAGCGCGCTGAGGCAGGCTGATGCTGAGGCAGGCTGAGGCTGAGGCTGAGGCTGATGCAGTCCAGGCTGAGGCAGCCTGAAGGTTGAGGCCGAGGCTGAAGGCAGACTGAGGCTGAGGCTGAGCCGGCTGAGGCTGAGTGAGGCAGGCTGATGCTGAGGCTGAGGCAGGATGTGCTGAGCCAGGCTGAGGCTTGAGGCTGAGGCTGAAGCAGGCTTGAGGCTGAGGCTGAGGACTGAGGAGGCGACTGAGGCGAGGCCGAGCCGCGGCCTGAAGGCAGACTGAGGGCGAGGCTGCAGGCGGGGTGGGGGAAGGTCTGATGCTGAGGCTGAGGCAGGCTGAGGCTGAGGCTGAGGCAGGCTGAGGCTGAGGCTGAGGCTGAGGCAGGCTTGAGGCTGAGGCTGAGGCAGGCTGAGGCTGAGGACGAGGCCGACGGCAGACTGAGGCTGAGGCTGAAGCAGGCTGAGGCTGAGGCAGAGGCAGGCTGAGGCTGAGGCTGAGGCTGAGGCAGGCTGATGCTGAGGCAGGCTGAGGCTGAGGCTGCGGCTGATGCAGGCTGAGGCCGAGGCAGGCTGAGGCTGAGGCCGAGGTGAAGGCAGATGAGGGAGGCTGAAGAGGGCTGAGGTGGGCTGAGGCAGGCTGAGGCTGATGCTGAGGCTAGGCTGATGCTTGAAGCCAGGCTGAGGCTGAGGCTGAGGTTCATGCAGGCTGAGGCTGAGGCCGGAGGCTGAGGCCGAGGCTGAAGGCAGATCTTATCTGCGGCTGAAGCAGCTGAGGCTGAGGGAGGCAGGCGGAGGCTGAGGCTGAGGCAGCTGAGGTTGAGGCTGAGGCTGATGCAGGCTGAGGGCTGAGGAAGCCGAGCTGAGGCCGAGGGTGAGCAGACGGAGGGCTGAGCTGGGGGGTAGGGGGGGGTTTTTTTCTTTGGGGACTGAAAGACAGGTGAGGCTGTGGTGTAAAGGCTGAGGCTGAGGCTGAGGCTGAGGCTGGCTGAGCGAGGCAGTTGAGGCTGAGGCTGAGGCTGAGGCAGGCTCAGGCTGAGGCAGGCTGAGGCTGAGGCCGAGGCTGCAGGCAGACAGAGGCTGATGCAGGAGCAGGCTGAGGCTGAGGCTGATGCAGGCTGAAGCTGAGGCTGAGGCTGATGCTGAGGCAGGCTGAGGCTGAGGCTGAGGCTAATGCAGGCCACTGCGACTGTCATCGCGAATGCGACTACGACTGCGAGAACAGCAGAACTCTACAACTGGATTCTCATCTGAATCTTAAGGGGGATGCTTCCAGATATGCTCCTACACATCGCTGTTAGGTTGCTTTGCCGGGATAATTTTCCATCAGTTCGCAGCCGTGCGCCCCCCCGTGGGGGTTATCCACGACGTGTTCTTTCAAGGGGGTGGCGCGTGGCGCTCTTTATGGCGCGGCCCATGGCGAAACTGATTGTTAAACGTGTGTCGGAGTGGCTGGCGCAAACCACTGCGCATGCTGAGTCGCCGGTCGCAGCGCAAATCGTCGTCCTCCGGTCTTCTTGCCCCCCCCTCCCTTCTTCCCGTCCCATCGTCCTCGTTCTCCCCCGTTATGTGTTACTCTTCGTTTCAAGGGCTTTGCCGGCCACGCGTAGCAGGGAATGAATGTACCCCCAAAGCGGGGTACGGTCGAAAGGGGGCGGGTATCCAGGGTTTGGGATATGCAAATTGCATAACACGCGAGCAGATAAGAGCGAACAGTCTTAAAATGGTTGTTGTTGTTGTTGTTGTTGTTGTTGTTGTTGTTGTTCTTGTTGTTCTTGTTGTTTTTGTTGATATTGTTGCTGTTGACCCTTAATTACTAAACAATTTCTTGCTGTTGGACCCCTTAGATCCGCCCTGGCGCACCCGCGTGGGTGCCGGCTGCATTTCCTCTGAAATCGAGACTCACGCTCGGGCGTGTCGGGGTTTCGCCAAACCGGCCCCCTAACAACAACAACGCTCCGGCTCGATATTTTTTTCCTCAGACCCGTTTGTTTTGCTCGTCGCTGAAAGCTGGCTTTCCCACCAAAGCAGCGTTCTGGCTCGATACCTCTTCGCCTCTTACACAAGATCGACGCTTTCGCCTCGGCGCCGCAAGCGGCCGACCATTACAACAACGGCGCTCCCGCTCGGTATTTCCGAGTGATTGACGCAAGACTGCGGCCTTCGTGTCGGGATCATCCTCGGGGGGGTTCCAGAGTCACTGTGGGAACTCAATTGCTAAACGATTTAATCGCTTCGCTCAGTCTGCTGGACCGTATGCTGCCATAGCAGGCGTTTGCCTGCGCGTTCGTGGCCTTTTGGGGTCCGTTTGTGGGCGTTTTGGAGCCTCTTTTTGGGCCTCTTGGCGTTATTTCTGGGACCTCTTGGGGCGTCACGGGGCCTCTTGGGGGCCTCTTGGGGGCCTCTCGGGGGTCTCTCGGGACCTCTCGGGGGCCTCTTGGGGGCATTTTGGGGGCTTCTTTGGGCCTCCAGAGGACCTCTTTGCGACTAGAGCTCGAAAATGTCGGTGCGGGTCCCTCGTCCGGGCCCATTCTTGGAGCCGTCTTGGGAGCCTTTTGTTGTTGTCGTTGTTGATGTCGTTGTTGCTGCTGCCGATGTTGGTGTTGCTGCTGTTGTTGCTGTTGTTATTGTTGTCGTTGTCATTGCTGTTGTTGTTGTTGTTGTTGTTGTTGTTGTTGTTGTTGTTGTTCGTATCGTTGCTGTTTCTCTTATAGGTGTTGATTTTGCTGTTGCTGATGGTGTTGCTGTTGTCGCTGCTGTCCTTGTATTCGTTGTTGTTGTTGTTGCTGCTGTTGTTGTTACTGTCGTTGTTGTTGTTGTTTTGGTTGGTTTGTTGCTGTTGTTTACTTTGATGCTTGTGTTATAGTTACTGTTGCTGTTTCTGTTGTCGTTGTAGTTGTCAGTGTTGCTGTTGTTGCTGCTGCTGCTGTTGTTGTGATTGCTGTTTCCACCTCCAGCGATTTTGCCGTATGCCCTCTCCCATTTGTCGGCCTCGGGGGCCGCCTTCGCCGCGGGACGGCCAAAAAGCGGCCCCGGACGGAGCAAAACCGATCCCAGGGAACGGAGTCGTCAGCGCTGGGGCCCACACGCTTTGGAACCCTCCCGACGCCGGAGGTCTCCGGGTCGATCCCTGCTCGGCGCGTCCAGGAGGGGCCTGCTGGTTGGGTGCTGGGCTGCTTTCGCTGCTGACCGTTCTGCTGCCCAGGGTCTTGTCGGCACGAACAAAAGGGGTACGGAAAGAATGGGCACAATGCTCAACAGCCCGCAGCGCGGGCTCGCTGCAGCCTGGTTCGTCCTTCGTTGTTCGTCGCTTTCCAATGCGGGTTGGACAAGTGACCCGCTTGTGCACGTCGCGGTGGCTGCGGTCAAAAACTTTGCTTCCGTGTGGTGACACCGATCGGCCTCCCGCCCTGTCTTCGAGTCGGCCCTAGCTTCTGCACGAACGACATGGGCACGGAAAGAATGGGTACGATGCCCAACAGCAGTTCCTGTTCATTTTGAGCAGGACTCGCTGTCCGCGCCGTCGCGGCCTGTGTCCATTTGAGACAGGAGGCCGCCTGCCCAACAGCGGCCGCTGTTGGTTTGGGACAACACTTGTTGTTGGGCATTGTAGACATTCTTTCCGTACCCATTTCGGGCGTCCAGATCTTGGGCTACCGCTTTGGGGCTGGGATAGGCTGGGAGGAATTTGGCGCGACCTCGCTAGGCGTGAGCACAGCGTACTTTTGGTCTTCCATTCTCCCCGTGCAGCGTGCCAAGACCCGCGGCAGTTTTCAACGGTGGTTTCCGTCTCTGGGGTATCCGCTGGTGGTTCCCCACATCTCGCAGCAGCTAGCGGCAGGTTGCAGCGGCCCGCATCACATGAGTGCGCCCTGATTCGGGGATGGGGCCAACAGATCAGTCCCAAGAAGGGTAGGCCCGCCCAGGCCCGATCAGGGAGCGTCCCCTGGGTGAGCAGCCCTCGCCAATTCGAGGTCCCCTCCTCTTTGGTTTGGGGGGGGCCCCCCTCCTCTTGCTTCGGTCATCGACCATGGGCCCCCCGTGGACAGCGCAGCCACCCAGCTAATTATCGCGCACAAGGCCGCCAGAGACCGCCGAACACCGCCGAGCACACGACCAGAAACACGCCACGAGCGACGAGGGGCCCGTGGCCGAGCACGCGCCCCAGACGTGCAAGGTCTCGTGTTTTTTATTTTGTTTGTTTTTCCCCCCCCCCCCCCCCACCCCACCCCCCACCACGAGCCCCCTGGAAGTCCCGACCCTGTTGCCATCGGGGCTTACGTGGCGGGGGCGCCAGCGCGGACGGGGAGCAGCCAAGCCCCTCCGAGATCCTCTGGCTGACCGCGGCTTTGGGAGCCACTTACCAGCCTGGAACATATCCCTATCCCTATGCTGGGCACCTCCTCATCACGATGCCAATCTTAGGGATTCCCTTATTTTTGAGGGCGAATCCCAAAGATTGTCATCGCCTTTTGGCGTGTCAATCTTAGGGATAGGGATACGTTCGAGGCTGGTAAGCCACGGACCTCCGCCGACCTGGTTTTTTTGAGCTTTTGAGCTGCCGGCCAGGCTGCGCAACAGGGCCCTGGCCGACCGGGGTTTGCGCTGACCCAGGTTAGTGCGTGAGGAGGAGGAGGAGGAGGAGGAGGAGGAGGAGGAGGAGGAAGAGGAGGAAGAGGAGGAGGAGGAGGAGGAGGAGGAGGAGGAGGAGGAGGAGGAGGAGGAGGAGGAGGAGGAGGACGGGGAGGAGGAGGAGGGGGAGTCCCAGCGGCCAGGTTTTCCTCCCGAGTAGCTTCTGTACAGTTCAAGTTCAGGCGCCCAGCGCAGGCCCCCAGGGGCCGAAGACGATCAGAGGCCCCCGTCGTGGTTTTGCCACGGTGCGAGCACGTCTGTGAGCTTTGAGACAGCCGAGGCGCCGCCCCGGATCCCGTGCTTCATGCGCCGCATCGCGGAGTGCAACGACGGGGCGCACTTGGCCGCTCAGGCGCGGCCGCTGGTGATCGGAGGCCAGGAGCTGGGGCTCGTGCTGCCGCGGGCGGCGGACGAGCTGGCGCGCTTCCCGGAGGTCTTCGCCGTGGGCGACGGGGCCGTGAGGCTCGCGCCGCGCCTGGAGGGCGCCGCCGTGGAGGCGCGCAGCGAGGCGGTCGCGGGCGTGCTCGAGCAGCTCCGCTCGAGCGGCCGGGTGCCCATGCTCGAGGCGTGGCGGCGCGCAGACGGGGGCGGCCCGCTTCGGGTGGGGGCGGGGGCCCGCTGCTCATCCGGGAGGCCTCCCCAGGGGCTGCCCTGGCCCCCCTCTGCGCGCCGCCGGCGAGGGCTGGAGGGACGAGGGGTGGCCCGTGAAGGCCGCGTTCGACACGCCGGTGGAGCTGGTCGTGGAGCGCGCGGCGGGGCCTCTGCTCGGCGTGCGGGGCTACGGGTGCCACGTGAACGGCCTCGTGGCGGACCGCGGCGGGGGCGCGGGCGGCTGGAGGCTCTGGGTCGCCCGGCGCGCAGCCACCAAGCAGACCTACCCTGGGAAGCTGGACCACGTCGTGGCCGGGGGGCTCTCGCACGGCGAGCGCCCAGGCGACAACGTGGTCAAGGAGTGCGGGGAGGAGGCCAGCATCCCGCCGGAGCTCGCCAAGCAGGCAGCTCCCGTCGGCATCGTCGAGTACGCCCAGGTGGACGAGACTGGCTGGGGCGTGAAGCGGGACGTCATCTTCTGCTACGACCTCATCTTGCCGGAGAGTTTCGTCCCAGCCGCCTCGGATGGCGAGGTGGAGTCCTTCGAGCTGTGGAGTATTGCCAAGGTGATAGAGTCCATCGCGGATGTGAACGACCACTGGAAGCCCAACGTCGCCCTCGTTATCATCGACATGCTTGTGCGACGCGGGCTCATCGCGCCTGATGAGCCAGGCTATGTGGGCTTGGTGCGCGCGCTTCGCGACGGGCTACAGTGAGTGTCACTCAAAAAGCCATCCCTGCTCAAAGGCCTTTGTGCGCACAGTGATGTGAGGGGCTGAACAATTCACCGAACACGAGCTGACTGCAACCGCACCGACCATCAGGGGGTACTCATTGAGAGGGGCTTTGTGGTACACACCTGCCGCGATACAGTCGAAACCGATGGTAAGGGTGGGTAACCTTTTTCCAAGGGTACCTACCCTTGCATCCGTGCCTCCTTGGTGCATCCTTGACTACTGTCTATGGCCCGCCGCGCTCGAAGAAGCTTCAACATGGGCGTCCAAGGGGCTCGCGTCCTCATCGCGCATCCTCACTGCCAGTCTTGGCGGTACGTGCACGACTACTGCGACAGCAGTGCTCTGCCTCTCGCCGTGGATTGCTCCGGTCGCGCTGCCGCGCGTGAGCGCCGCGCCGTGGAGGGGGAGGTGCCGCCCAGCACCGCACCAGGACCCCGCTACTGCCCCCTCCATGCTCTGTCGACGGGGGACCTCCACCTCCCTCCTCTCCCTCCTCCTCCTTCTCCTCCTCCTCCTCCTCCTCCTCCTCCCCATCCTCCTTTTCCTGCTCCTCCTCCTCCTCCTCCTCCCTTTCCTGCTCCTCCTCCTCCCTTTCCTGCTCCTCCTCGTCGTCGTCGTCGTCGTCGTCCTCCTCCTCCTCCTCCTCCTCCTCCTCCTCCTCCTCCTCCTCCTCCTCCCCCCCACCCCGAAGAGCAGCAGGGGGGCGCAGGGACGCGGGCAGATCGTGGACGCGCACTGGGCCCGATGCGCCGAGGGCCCTCGCAGCTGCTGTGCCAGAAGCGCGATGACACCCCAGCGCAGGAGACTCCGACAGGCCTTTCACAGCTCACGAGCGGGGTGCCCGATTGGGGGCCACGACACGGGAGGCCACGAGCTGGGGCCACGATGCGGGGCCACGATGGGCCGCCGACCTCCAGGGCAGGGCTCCCTCACCAGGCGTGAGGCGAGAGTCATATGTTTCACCTTCGCAGGCGAGTCGTCCAGGGAATCGCGACAAGGAAGCGCGGGGGTGACCTGCAGCCGCCCGTGCCGAGCTCGGTGCCGGCTCCTCCGCCCCCTGCCCCGTGCCTCTGCCAGCACCCGTCGCCGTCGGCCTCGACGGGCCCCCTGATCCCGCGCTGCCGCCTCTCGGGGCAGCGAGGGCTCCGAGCGAGGATGTACGAGGCTGCCACGGGCCGCCCTCGAGGAACACCAGCTATGCAGCCCCGAATTTCTTACCCGCCCCACTCGAGCAAGACGCGCAGAGGCCCCAGTGCACTTGGGCCAGAGCTGCGCCATCACGTCGTGTCTCCCCTTTCCTCCCTGCCGCCCTCCTCATCTCTCCGCCCACCCCCCTCCGCACTGTCTCCTCCTCCTCCTCTCCGCACTATCTCCGCACTGTCTCCGTTCGCCCTCATCCCTGCTCTTTCCTTGAATGTTGCTGCTCCCTCCTCCGTCTACCTCCTTCCTCCCTCCTTTCCCCGTCCTGCTCCTCCTGGCCCCTCCTCCTTGTTTCTGCTCCTCCCTCCTTTTCCTTCCCCCTCTCCCTTCGTCGTCCTCTCTCATGCCACATATCATCTCATCTCATCTCATATCATACAATATGATACCATTTCATTCCATAACGCGCCATACACATTCCTAACATATCGTGCCATACCACATCATAGCATGGCATATCATATCATACCATATCACACCATAACGCATCATACCATCTCATACCATACCATATCACACCACGACATGTCACAAGGTATCCTTTCATATCGTGTCATATCATATCATTTCACGTGAAGCCATACACTAGTATACCACACCATATCATATCATGCTATATCAGATCATCGCATGTCATTTAGATATGCGTTTGAATATCGATCCATCTATCACACCTCCTTCCACTCGTCGTCCTGCTGCTGCTTGTCGCCCTCCCTTCCCTCCCTCCCTCCCTTCCTCCTCCACCTCTCTCCCCTCTCCTTCTCTGCCTCCTTCCCCCGCCCCGCCGTCCTTCCGCCCGTCCTGCTTCCGCTGGTGTACCTCTCGCTGCTCCTGCCGCTGCTGCTGCTCCTCTTCCCAGAGGGCGGCGAGACTTCTCAGAAGCCCTCGCGTCCTCTGAGCAGTCTTCCGTGCCCTCGGTGAGGGCTCAGGAGATTTCTCGGAAGGCCGAGGGACTTCCGAGCCTTCTTAGAAGGCCCGCCCCTTCTCGCTTCCCCCCCCCCGGGCTCGCCGCCGATCTCGCCTCCCCTGCTCCGCCTGCTCTCTCTCTCTCTCTCTTCCTGAAACTGCTCGGCCTGGCACCCTCCTCTCCTCTCCCCCACTCCTCCCCGTTCCCTTCAGGAGGGGAACAGCAAACACACAGACACAATGGAACGTGGACTTCTGAAACAATGTAGGAAGCTATTGGCAGTGGGCGGGAAGCCGAAGATCAAGAAACTATGAGAACATATGGGGAATCTTGGGATTTGTGTGTACTTGTTTGTGTGTCCCTGGGCCGCTTCGTTCCTCTCTCTCCTGTGTCCACCCCTCCTCCAGCCTCTCCCCTCCTCCCTCCTTCCGATCATCCTCCGCTCTCCGTTCTCGCTGCTGTTCTTCCTGCTCGCTCTCTTGCCCCCTCCTCCCGATCGTCCGCCTTCCCGTCATCCCCCACCCCTGCTCCTGTACTCGAGTGGCCTTCTTTCGCAATTCCAGGTTGTCGATGCTTCGCGCGTGCCCACCACCCATTCAGAAACGATGCCCAGGCGAGTTGCCTCGACGAGGGGGGAGACGGCCGTCACACAAGCGTCCTCTTTGGCCCTTCAAAGCTGTTGATGCCTCGCGTGTGCGCGCCACCGCTCCAGAAAGGATGCCCAGGCGAGTTGCCTTGACGCGGGGGGAGACGGCCGTCACACAAGCTAACGCTCGGGATCCCGGCTTGTGCAGGGCCAGGAGAGACCCATGAGTGAATTGGCGACCTTTTCGGATGATGACTGAGCATGGGGAGGAATGGTGAAGATGAGGATGAAGAGGGAGATGCCGCGTAGAGGATGAAGAGCGATGAAGGGTGATGGTGAGGATGCCAAGAAGGAGGAGGACGAAGAGGAGGAACCATACCCGAGTAGGCCATCACGGTAAGTCACATATGTAGTATTTGCGTTGCAATGCACCCTCCCGTCTCATGTCCCCTCTTCATCAGTTCTTACAAATCACTCAGCTTCTGGTGATTCGTATGAGGGATGAGAGTGATGCTGCTGATGCTGATGCTGCTGATGATGACGATTGACGAGGGTCATGAGGATACGGAGGGGGGGGCGAGTAGGATGAGGACGAGGGGTGGGGCGAGGTTGGGGGAGGATGACGTCAACGACGAACACGACGGCTACGACCACGACGACAAGGCAGGAGTCAACAGGCCATGCCTTTGCAGATCTTTCGGTCTGGGAGCCTCTTGGAGGCCTTTGTTGCCATTGCGGGACCCTCTTTAGGCCATTCTGAGTTCGGAGTCATCGGAGCCCTCCCTCTTGGGGTCCCTCTTGACGTCATTGGGGAACCTCTTGAACCCATCCTGGAGTCCATCGGTCAAGCAGGGAGGCAGACTTATTGTAGATCTCCCGCCCTTGGAGCCACACACAGGGCGGAGAAGATGGAGGATACGGACGATACTTCGGAGAGAGGGAGGAGGGGGCGGGAAGGGAGGGAGGGCGGATGGAGGAGGCATGGAGGATCAAATTGGGGGAGGAGAGAGGAGAGGGCGGAGGGCGGCAGGCAGAGTAGGCGGGGGATGATGATGATGCTGATGATGATGCTGCTGATGATGATGATGCTGATGATGATGCTGATGCTGATGATGATGCTGATGATGATGGTGGTGATGATGAGGGTGATTAGTATGACCATGATGCTGATGATGATGATGCTGCTGATGATGCTGATGCCGATGCTGATAATGATGCTGATGATTGAAATGATGCTGCTGATTATGATGGTGATTGTGAGTATGATGGTGATGGTGATGGTGATGGTGATGGTGATGATGCTAGTGATGCTGATGATGCTGATGCTGATGCTGCTGATGATGCTGCTGACGAGGCTGATGATGCTGATGGTGATGCTGACGACGGCGATGATGCTGCTGCGTCTGATGATGACGAAGAAGATGATGATGCTTATGATTATGATTGTGATGCTGCAGATGATGATGCTGACGATGCTGATGATGACGATGATGACGCTGATGATGATGATGAAGATGATGATGATGATGATGATGATGATGATGTTGATGATGATGATGATGATGCTGATGATGATGATGGTGATGATGGTGATTATGATGGTGGTGATGATGTTGATGATGCATATTGTGGTGTTGGTGGTGATGCTAATGCTGATGACGATGCGGATGACGACGATGACACTGATGATGCTGCCGCTGATGATGACGATGATGATGGTGATGACGATGCTGGTGACAAAGATAAAGACGGCGGTGGTGGTGGTGGTGGTGATGATGATGATGATGATGATGATGATGATGATGATGATGATGATGCTGATGATGATGATGATGATCATGATGATGATGATGGTGGTGGTGGTGGTGGTGGTGGTAGTGGTGATGATGATGCTGCTGATGATGATGATGAGGATGGTGGTGGTGGTGGTGCTGATGATGCTGATGATGCTGATCATGGTGATGATGACGATGCCGATGGCGATGAGGAGGATGATGAGGCGTACGACGAAGACGAAGATGAGGATGATGACGATGAGGAGGAGGAGGGAGGAGGAAGGAGGAGGAGGAGGAGGAGGAGGAGGAATATGAGGAGGATAAGGAGGAGGAAGAGGAGGAGGAAGAGGAGGAGGAGGGCTGAGCCGGACCGATGAGGGCTGAGGAGTGCTGAGGAGGAGGAGAAGGAGGAGGAGGAGGAGGAGGTCTGAGGAGGAGGAGGTGGAGGAGGAGGAGGAGGAGGAGGTGGAGGAGGATGGAGGAGGAGGGAGGAGGGAGGAGCTCGTGCGCGTGCATTCCCTGCAGCCTCCACACATCAACTCGCCTCACGACGCTGCCTCCCAGCGGCGCCCATCGCGGAGGCCTGCCGCTCCGTGCGACCGACCCGTGGACGTCGATTCTGCTGACGGGCACGCTGGCCTTCGTCGACCCCGCCGACGCCTACGCTCGGTCAGAGGGGCAATGCCCCAGACCTCCTCGCGTGGTGAAAGAATCGCATCCGGGGTCCCTTCCCGGGCCTCGGTGCCGTCAAAAAACGGCTCAGGACGAAAAACCCGTCCCGGGAAAGGGGTCCAGACCCCAGGGGGTCGACGTTGTGAAAAAATCACGATGTCGGGGGTCTGGGGAGGAATGCGGTCGGGAATTTTTGGGTAGCGTGTCGCTCCGCCGGTTCTGGCCCACACGCTATCCGCATCCCAATTCACAAGCGCCAGCGTCTCGAGCGTCTCGAAGCCTCCCGCCCCACGGAACGGTGCGACGCGCGATCCGCTCGCAGGGCACAGCGTGTCGCCGGGCCGCCGCCGCGGCACGCCATCCAAGAGTGCCCGACCGTAGGAGAAGAGTGCTCTGGAAGAGGCAGAGGGCAGAAGGATGATGGGGAGGCGGCGGGGGCGAGGATGGGGAAGAGGAGGAAGAGGCGGATTCAGCAGGAGGAGGAGGAGGAGGAGGAGGAGGAGGAGGAGGAGGAGGAGGAGGAGGAGGAGGAGGAGGGGCAGGAGGAGGTCTGAGGAGGAGGAGGAGGAGGAGGACGAGGAGGAGGAGGTGGGCGAGCCCGACCGCACCACCCGCAGGCTAGCGGCCACGGACCCCGGGGACGTGGACGACGGGCTCACGCGCGCCTGGGCGCTCTACTGGGCCGCCTCGCTGTGGGGGGGCGGCACAGGACGCGGGGGACGTCACAGGCGACTCGGAGGAGGAAGTTAGGGAAACAAAGAATGACAGAAACATAAAAACTCGGAGGTCCGCGCGGACTTCTCGGATCCGCGCTGGGGCCCACCGGCGGCGCCTCCGGCGCCGCCCCTGGCGCGCTCCGCGCGCCAGGGAGGGGGGTCCAGCGCCTATCCGAGAAGTCCGCGCGGACCTCGTAGTTTTTATGTTTATGCCACTTTTTGTTCCCCCAGAAGTGTGTACTCCAGATTTCATAATAAAAGGGAGGGGGTCTGGACCCTCCATGACAAGCCATTTCAGACCTCCCCCGTGGGAGAACCCTCCAAAACATCGTCCCCAGACCCCCCAGGCCCTCCAAGATAGCCTGGAAGAGACCCCCCCCCGAAATGAGAAGACCCCCCTCCCTTTATGACGAAATCTGGAGCATACAGGAGCCAACCTCCTCCCCTCGCTCTCGCCTGCCCTGGGCCTCTCGGGAGACCCTCCTCGCCAGGGCCGGATTCGCTCCGAAGGGGGTCGGAGCGTGGCGGTGTCGGTGTGTTCGGGCTTCGCCAGCGGCGACCATATCTCGAAGAAGCGCAGACAGCGTGAGCATCGATTCGCGAGGGCCCGCGCGGATCTCTGGGGGCCTGCGCATGGACCCCCTCGCCGGGGAGGGCTGCCCGGCGCAGGCTGAAGATTGCGTCGGGCGTGTCCCCCTACAGGGGGATGTTTGGGCGAAAGATGAGAGACATTCGAAGCATACCCCCCAAAGGTCAAACAGTATTTCTGCGAACTCGAAGACCACGAAGTGCGTTGCTGTTTGCTTCAAACGAGTTCCCTGGCATCCCCCCGGCATCCTCCCCCGGATCGCGCCCAGACCCCCCTGGGGCGTCATGATGCTCTCCTTTGACCCTACTAGAAACCTATCAGTCTTCGCTGTTAGGTAAAAAAGGCCCCAAAAGGTCAAACAATATTCAAAAATTAGTCCCCACGGATCGCTCGCTCCGTGGGCCACTGGCGGGGCCTCGCCGGGTGGTGGCGCGAGGCGAGCTCCGTGCCCTCCGCCTCGCGGCGTGGTGCACGACAGGGGGCCATCGCTGATGTGCCGGACGGCGAGTCGGTGGTCCAAGTTGGGCGGCGCGTAATGGGGGGGTCATAAATGGGGGGGGGGGCGAGCGTGGTCCGAAAAGGTACCCAAACGGTACCTAAACGAGCCCCCTGGGGCTCTGGAGGGGCCCGAAAGGGGCACGAAAGGGGACCTTTTCTGACCCCCCCATTTGTGACCCCCCCCTTAAGCCACGCCCAACCAAGGGTGGTTCGAGCAGCGTCATCATGCCCCTGCTGGGCCCGACGGAGACTCGTGGGCCCGTCTAGGCCAGCTCTTGGACCAGGCGCCCGAGCGCATTATCAGCACTCTTCTGTGTCAGCTCGCGTCTGACGGGAGACGACATTGTCCGAACTCGGGCCCCCAGGTGGATGAAAACGGGCAATCACGTGGCGGGCGAGATCGCTGGTATTGCCGCCGCGGAGGCGCGGCTGCCAGCAGCCACTCGTCAGCGTGTCTTGCTGCGCGAGAGACAGGCCAGGCTGGTCAGGATGAGGATTCTCGGGGCCACCCTGGATGCGATGTGTCGGCGGAGGGGAAGACTCCGCGTGAAAAACCGTTGTTCTTTCTGTCCCTGTCCCTTCTTCTGCTGCTGCTTGCTCCCTCTTCTCCACCTCCCACTGTCTGGATGACGCGGGGCGAGGGCGCTCAAGGTGTGGAGGCTCGGCCTCTGTCTCTACCCTGGTCGACTGGAGGAGGACCCCATGTTTTTATCCTGTCTATAATAGCGGAATGTTGTGGTTTAGACCTCCCAGCGCGCCCTCCATATAGCTGGGGGGCTTGTCCACGAATCCCATAATCTGCAGTTCCATGGGCCATTAAAGTTATGATACTGCCGTGAATGTGGTAGTTTCGGCTCTAGTTAAATCCTGAAATTGGGTAAGCAATGCCTCCGTAGGCTCACCCCGTCAGGCGTCGAATACCCAGACCGTATTTCTTGAGGGTTGTGGCCTAAGGTCCTCAGCCAAGCAGCGCAAGCATCCAGGCGTCCCACGACGCGTGTTTAAGGTGTGCATGTGTTGCATGTGTTAGTTATGTGGTACTTGTGACTTTGTCATATGATCATGCTCATGCTCATGCTCATGCTCATGCTCATGCTCATGCTCATGCTCCTCCTCCTCCTCCTCCTCCTCCTCCTCCTCCTCCTCCTCCTCATGCCGCCCTCTGCAGCTCCCACCGCCACTGGCCTTCAACGCGCTCGCCAAGCGGAGCACCCCGCCGCGCGTGCGTGGAGGGCCCCCGCGCTCCCCGATCTCGGTGTGGAATGCGGGCATGTCTGCGGGGTTGAATTGCATGGGGCGCTCATTCTGCCGAGTGCCGCACTCCTGCTGCGGCCGCGAAGGCAACGCTGAGATGTGGGGCCCGGGGGGGGTCCCATCGACGCAGCACTCTCTGGACGGGCGTTTCTGGCGCCGGCAGCGGCGAGAGGCGGCCGGGTCCTGCCTTGCGTGCCGCGCCGCCTTGAGCCCGGCCCTCCTCCCCGAGCTCGCCGCCGCGTCCGTGCGCCCAGGGTGGCGTCGGGCCCGTCGCTTGAGGGCGGTCGTCACAGCCGGGGGCGCTTCCTGGCCGCGCCCAGATCGCCGCGCCGCTCCGCGGGCTCGCCCGCGCCCCGCCGCCAGTCCTGGCCGGGGCCCTCGTGGGCCCCGGGATGGCGTGTGGGGGCCCTTCCGGTCGAGGCCGATGGGGGCCGCACGCGCCATCCCGGGGCCCCGAGGGCCTGGTCAGCGATGGTGGTGCGCCGGTTTTCCCTACGAGCCTAAGATCACCAGCCTCGAACCTATCCCTATCCCTAGGATTGACACGCTAAGAGGAGATGACAATCTTAGGGATACACCCTCAGAAACTGAGGAAATCCCTAAGATCGCCATCGTGATGAGGCGATGCCCAACACAGGGATATGGATATGTTCCAGGCTGGAAATAAGAGGTTGGTTGGGTCTGTAGGGCTCCCCTCTCGGCGTGTGCCCGCTCTCCATTGCCCGGTCTTCTCCTGCGCGCGATGCACGGCTGGTCCCGTCGTGCGAAGAGTATAGGCACTGAGAGCCGGTGGAGCCTTCTCCGCTAAGACCCCCTCTCATCCTCTCACGCCCTTCCTCCCCCCGCCCTCCCTCATCCCTCCTGCCCCCCTCCTTCCTCTTCCTCTCTCCTCTCGCGTGGCCCCTCTTGGTCTCCCTGTCCCTGTCGCTCTTTCTCTCTCCCTCTCTTTCTGTTCCCCTTTTCTGTATCTCCCTTCTCTATCCTTTCCTCCCTCTGCCCTTGAGGAGTCCCGACGCCAGCGCCGGGGAACGGAGGAACGCCGACGCCAGCACCTGTGCACGGAGGAGTGCCGACGCCAGCGCTGGTGACCGAGCCGGCGCCGACTCCGCCGCCGACATCGTACGTAGACCTGTGTGGGCACGCGGCCACGCAGTGCAGGATAGCGTTTGTCGCGGGAGGGGGGAAGGACGGAGGGGGATGCTGATGATGATGGTGCTGCTGATCATGCTGCTGCTGCTGCTGATGCTGATGCTGCTGCTGCTGATTCTGATGATGATGATGATGCTGATGATGATGATGATAATGATGCTGATGATGATAGTGATGACAGTGATGATGAAGAAGAATAGTAATTCTATCAGTGATATTAAGAATTATAGTAGTATCAAACACGAAGACGAATCAGGCTACTGCTGTTATTACTAATGATGATATTCGTAATGCTAATAATGCTACTGGTTGTACTACTATTACTACTACTACTACTACTACTACTACTACTACTACTACTACTACTACTACTACTACTACTACTACTACTACTACTACTACTGATACTAACATCAACACTAATACTGTAAAACAAAACAATAGAAACACATTCTTGCCAACAGTAGTAATACTGCTAATATTATCTCGAAGACTACTACTAATCTCACTACTAATCATACGATTAATATTGATACTGCTACTAGTAGTGAGACCGAAAATCATACAACCGGTACTACGAATAGTAATACTACTAATAATTCAGATAATGCGGCTACTAATGATAATCGTACCATTCATGGCAACTACTTTTAATGATACTACTAGTACTAATACGATTGATACTACGACCCTTACTACTACTACTACTACTACTAATAATAATAATAATAATGCTAATGAGACTAATGATGCGAACGCTAATACTAATACTAACCGTAATACTGATGTTGATAAGAATTTTAGTATTCATACTAAGAAGACCAAGCATAATACTATGAAGAGGAGGAGGGGGATGATGATGATGATGATTATGATGATGATGATGATGATGATGATGATGATGATGATGATGATGATGATGCTGATGATGATGATGATGATGCTGATGAGGATGATGATGATGATGATGATGATGATGATGATGATGATGATTCTGATGATGATGATGATGATGATGATGATGATGATGATGATGATGATGATGATGATGATGATGAGGAGGAGGAGGAGGAGGAGGAGGAGGAGGAGGAGGAGATGGAAGAGGAGGAGGAGGCAGACAGGAGGGGAAGGAGGAGGAGGAGGAGGAGGAGGAGGAGGAGAGGAGGAGGAGGAGGAGGAGGAGGAGGAGGAGGGAGGAGGAGGAGGAAGAGGAGGAGTAGGAGGCAGAAGAGGAGTGCGGTACATTCCCGCCGCGTTGAGGCGGCGGCGACGTCACAGCGGACGTGCAAGGTAGAATTTCACTTGCTGCCCGAGCTCTGCCACATCTGGACGATCTCTGATGTCTGATCTCTGAAAGCGGCGATCGCTCAGGATTGAACGATGCTCGAAAGGTCAGAAGCCAGCGCCCACGCCATCGCGACGTAAACCTGCCGCAGGTGATGGGAGGAGGGATTGGGGGCGGGGGAGGAGGGATTGGGAGAGATGGGGCGTGGGAGGGGGAGGAGGGACGGGGGGGGGGTAGGAGGGATGGTGAGGAAGCGGGGGAGGAGGAAGGAGGTACAGGGCGGGGGAGGAGGGAGTGGTAGGGAGGAGGCGGGAGGAAGGGGCGGGAGACGGGAGGGAGGCGGTGGGCCCCGGGAGGACGGAGGGGGCGGGGGCGGAACACGCAGCCATGGCTCTGGGGGCGTCGGGAAGGTAGCGTAAAGCAAGGTAAGGTAAGGGAAGGCAGGAAAGGTATCGCAAGGTAAGGTAAGCCGAGCTACGGTAAGGTAGCGTTAGGTAAGGTAAGGTAAAGTAAGGTAAGGTAAGGCAGCGCAAGGTAACGTAAGGTAGGGTGTGGCTACGTAAGAGAAGCCAAGACACGATAACGTAGCGTGCGCTAAGATAGTGCAAGGAGCTGTAGGGACATGTGAGCTCAAGACCGCCAGGTTGAGCGAGTCAGGCCTCGCCTACTCCCACCTTCCTCCTCGCAGCCTAAGAACGAATTGTGGCACAGCTTGATACTGCGATTGGAACGCGCACCCACCTCTCAAACGGAAGGAGTTCGCGCGCGGCCCGCTTCCGACGACTTGGGACGAGAGAACTCTTGACGTTTCGCGTATCCCCACCAGCCTTTCTCCTGCAATGACTTCGCCTTCGACACGTGCCACTGCTGTACAAACAAGAGGTACTGCCGTTTGCAGTCCTATCTGTGACGAGGTTGCCCCTCTTCACTCTTGCGCTGACACGATGTAGGGGTGTCGACTACGGCACGGACGTCGTCCGGGTGTGCCTGTCGGTCCTGCTCGTCTCTGACGGTGCCTTGTGCCGACTCGCACCGAGTGATTGACCTCTGCGTGTCTGTGGTCGCGCCGCCGCGCCATATTGGCTGCGCTTACTTGCTGGTCGCCACCAGGATCTCCACGCCACCGGGTTAGGAGTTTCGTTTCTGGCTTTTCTTCTGAGTGGCTGCCCGCGCGCTTGCTTCGCTTGCCTCTCTTTTCTTTCTTGCTGCTTAGTCGCGGCCCGACTGGTGTTCGGACGGCTTTCGACCTGTTTCGCGAGCCCGCAGACCAAAAAGTGTCCACACCAGCCGTTTAGCGCCCGCATGATTGGTGACTTCCCATGAAGCGTTGACCTCGCTGTCTTACGTTCCGCGGTCCGGCGCCTCGGCTTGGACTCGCTGCTCGTCTCAATGACGGTCTTCGACGTGGTCGTGGACTTCGAATTCCACCATTTTGGTGCTGCACTTCGCCTGGAAGGACTTCCTGGTGTGCGCCGTCTTGTGAGCGGCGGCGAGGCTCGCCTCCTGTTTGCCCCCCGCCTGCTTGGTCTTTTCTCTTTCGCTCTTCCTCTTCCCTTGCGCTTTTTCAGGCCGTTGCTAGTCTGCGCCGCCTCCTGACGCCGACCTCTCGCCGCGGTGGCGATCAAAAGTATCCCCGCCAGCCTGCGCTGCGGAGGGCTGGCTTCGTTTCCCAAGCCGTTCCCCTCCAGTCGAGGCCCGCCTGCCCGTGAGCGGCTGCAGCGACCCGCCTGGTTGGTCCCCGGCGAGCCCCGCCTCCAGGGCGCGCCCGCCGCGGGGCCGCCCGACCCCCCGAGCGCAGCTCTGTTTCCTTGAGAGACCGCGGCGCAGACTCCGACCCCTCCGCGAGCCCCGCCGACAGTGCGCAGCCCCAGGCCCCAGGGCCCCCTGCAGGGGGGCCCTGGGGCCCAGGGCTGCAGAGTCTGCGCGACCTTGAGCACCCCCGCAGGCGGCGGGGCCGCCCCGGCGGAGCCCGCCGAGTCCGTCTCAGATACCTCTCCCGCTGAGGTGCCCGAAGACGCACCCGCCCCCGACAGCGCCGCGCCGCCGGCCAGACCATCGGCGGTCGTCGAGCTCAGCCCGCCATCCACCTCCGCCCTAGCTCGACTGGTCGGAGATGCCGCTCCAAGCCTCCCAGCAGACACTCAGGCCGGCAGCCGAGCCTCCCCGGCCGCCGCGTCCAGCGTGGCCGACCCCTTCCCCATCGGAGGCGATGGGCCGCCGACGCCCCCTCCAGCAGCAGAGCCCCGTCTCCCGCGCCCGGCGCTCCCCCCCGGGGGTGCCGCCGCTAGAGACCGCCGCGCGCGACGCGGCCAACCGTGGAGGCCCTTGGGACATGCGCCGCGCTGGGAGAGCCCATGGCGCCGACCGCGGGCCTATGGGGCCGCGAGAAGAGGGGCTGGACAGACTGGAAAGACAAGGATAAAACTTCGTACCGTGGGGCGTCACGGGGCCCCGCCCGTGCCCAGCGGCCGCGCGCCGAAGGCCGAACTGCCTCCGGGTCCAGCAGCGCCCCCCCGCGCGGCCTGACTGACCCGGACACGGGCTGGTACATGTACAAGGCCCCCCTTGACGAGGTCGACTTTTCCCCCGCCGTTGACGAGAGCCGCGCCTCCGAGGTCTAAGCGCCTCCAGAGAGAGCTCGGGGAGTACTTCAGCGGCGTCTGTGCAGCCCCCCCCCCGGGAACAGCCCCGCTTGCGCAGACCGCTTCAGGCAGGGCCCTGGGTCCTGCGCAGGCTTCCCCCGGGCATGGCGTCGCCGCGACTGCAGCCCGCCGGCCATGGACAGGGCCTTCCACTTATACGCGTCAAGTGGACGGTCATCCGCGAGAAGTTCGCCAATCGGGGGACAAGAAAGGGCGCCCCACGCAAGGGCAAGGGGAAGGACCTCCGCGCAGCCAGCGCGTCCTGGCACCGAGGCCAGGGGGCCTCCAGCCGTGCCTCGAGCAGCCGCCGACCCTGAGCACCTCGGTAGGCCCCCTCCGCCCGGGTCGGTGCCCCACCGCCGCTGCGCGCGCGCGGCGTCTGTCCCCTCTGTCCGTGTTCTGCGCGCTAGACCTACTGGCAATCGGCGACGCTGCGCGCCCGCCCCAGGGCGTGCCCCCCGGCTGCCGCGCCCCCCTTGGCACTCCGGGGGCCGGGTGCCACAGCCGCAGTCCCCGCTCCCACTCTCAGGTCCTGCGCTTCCGGGATCGGGCGCCTGCATTTCTCGCCTCGCTCCTTCTCGCAACTGGGAGCCGCGGCGCTGCGCGCGGACCCCTCCGGGCCCCCTCGGCGCACCCCGCGGGGCTGTCGCTCCTCGCGCGACGCCCCCGATACATGCGACTGTTAGTCGCGGCGCCCACCTGCGCCTCCGCCGTCTCGGCCGCCGCGTGCCAGTGCTTGCGACTGTTAGTCGCCTCTCCGCTTTCCCTCGCTTGCATTGCGGCCCTCGCCGCCCCCCTTCTTTGGCCCGCGCTCCTCCGCGTGCTTCGCGCTAGTCGCTTTTGCGCCCGCCCCCGCCGCGGCTCTCGCCCCCCTCGCGGGGGCGCCGGCGCTCCTGCCAGCCTCCCGCACTGTCAGCGCCCCGCCCCCGGGCTCTCCCCCCCCCCTGCCTGCCGGCCCTCTCGCCCGCCCTCCCCGCGCCCCCTCGGGGGCCGCCCTGGCCTCGCGCCCAGTGCCGCCAGGCGCGTGCCCCGGCTGGGGCTGTCGGCTCGCCCCCTGCCTCCCAGTGCGCCCTAGTCACTGG